GTACTCAAACAAACGGAGCAAGTCATAATATTGCCCGTGAATATCACCGCAGATCTAGATGGTACAAGACAATGTTAGTTAGGTGCGCAAGAAAAAGTTGGGCGACGGACGAGTGACACACAAGACCACGCGTCAAGGGCAAATAAGTTTCGTGAAGGGGGTTTGTCTTACCTTGATGGGAGCTTCAAGCTCAAGAAGGATGGGCTGCGAGATGAAGATCTCACGAGCCTTGGTGCAGAGGTAGCGGATCTCGGCTTCGAGCAGCTGAACTTGCTTGCCCGGTCGGCTGCCCCGCACCTCCAGGAGGCGATCGATTATCGACTCAAGGTCGACTTCGTGTTGGTCCGCCATTGCAAATATTCCTCAATCCTCACCAGCCGAGGGCTTTGGCGCACGCAAAAAAAAGAGACGGGGTTTTGGTAGTGACCGACAGATCCCAGGCAGTCGAAGACAAAACAGGAAAAGAACGGCGAGCGCGCTGGAAGACCGGAGCGATGATGCACTTCTGGGAGCTGGTTGTAGTGAAATAGACAATAACAATGAGTTAGTCAAACTCGAAACAAAACTTGGGAACTTGGGATGAAAAGTCGCGGTGCGGGTCTCTTCAAGCGAAGTGGGTGAGGTGGGCAGTCCAGATGCCAGGGAAAAGTGAATGCGCGACGAATCGACTCGTGCATGTTGTGAATGAAGCAGCAGCAGAAGCAGCGACTTACCTATTACGCTGCAAAACAGAAGCGATCTCAGCAACGAGTGGCTGTGACGGAGAGGGGATCGGGGGGAGAAAGGCCCCTTCGTGTTCCTCTTTTTTTTTTTTTTTTGGTTTGTGCAGAGATGTCAAGACCGAGTCTCTAGCAAATCTATTTTTTTGGTGCCCGTTAGATGGCGAAAGTGGGTTGTCGTCACCGGGTTTGGCGGGATTGCAGCGGACAACTTTCAGCGAGGGCGACCGCGGAGAGCAGGTGCTGCGTCGTCACGGAGTAAAAAATCACGTGTCGCTGGTGATCGTATGGGGTCAGCGACGAGATGGCCGCTTTTTTATCGTCTTGTTAAGAGGCAAAGGTCGGCTGGGCCAGTCGTCTTGGTCGAGAAAAGTGAGGTTGTTCGGGGGTCGCGGGCAGTTGTTTTGGGGGACGTGAGAGAGAGGCTGCCACGGTCGGGGGGGAATGGGATGGGCTCTGCGGTGGTGCAAATGATGCTCTGTCGGCAGGAATTCGCGGGAGGTGTCTCAATTTCAGAGAGAGGCTGTTATCGTCGGCTGCGTGGTGGCTGTGTGATCACAATCGTGTCGCCGGTGTTTAGACCGTCTCTTTGTGTTGACAAATGGCCCCGTGGGTTAGGATAGAGGTCGGAAAAATTCAGAGTTGGCAAGTCGTTTGAGACTTTTTGGAGGAGGAGACCACGGCCCTGGGGCAGAATTGGTTATGAGCGGGCATGGGGGCCCCGCAAAAAAATTATATGCTGCAGGACAGGGAGAAGCGCGTCATCTGCTAACAAAAATGGCCCGCAACCCAGCGCCACAAGTGTTAGTCCGCCTTCTGCATTGTCGACTCCTGAGCCGGGATTGGCTGTGGATATCAACCCCTCGACCCTTGGCAATCTAAAACGGATCTTCTTTGACCTACGCAGTGCTACTTTTGCCTGCCAAAACCTCACGGCGGCGAGGCCTGATATTTCTCCCCAAAAGGACCGAGCTGTGGTTTCTGTTCTTTTTATTGTTTATTCCTGTTCAAGCTGTTCCTCTTATCTGGCGCCACCGCCTCTTTTGAAGTAGCCTCGTATACCAAGTTAACTCGTGCCCAGTTTCCCGTTTCCTCTGGTTGTTCAACACGACGCTATGACGGCAACCAAAAAACCCAAGAAGAAAACGAGCTTCGCTTCGCTTCGTCAGCTTTCGAGCATATCTCCACGGGTAGACCGCATTCTTTACATCCATGTACAGAGGATGCCTGGCTTGGACTGACGCTGTACAAGCACAGGTGCTCTATCAAGCTCACCTACCTTCCCCGACCTCGGAATCATCTGTCTTTGTCTGTCTTCACAACGGATATGCTGGTGGTGGCCGGCCCCGACCAACTCGAGTTTGGAGGTCTCCCAAGCAAACCTTGACTTGGCGCCGGGTCTCCTTGACTGCGCCCCAGGGGGGCCGTGTGGTCTCAAGTTTGTGCCTTTGAGCGCGTTGCCGCTTGCCTTAGTCGTGGGATTAGCTCTGATTCGCTGTCACTCTTCCCTACATGGCAATCATCTATTTCACCCCCTCATGGAACATGTTTCCCCCTATCCTGGTTTCAAACCATGGGCACTAGAACAGCACCGAGACCTGCTCTCGGAGACAAGCCGAGCACTGTTGCGGAGTATTGCTATCTGTATGGTGGCGTTGGACCTGGTTGGGTGCTGCTGGGTGCTTCTGCATGGCTTACATATCAGTCGTGCAGTTTGCAGCACCACCAGGCCCTAAACTTGACTCACCGGGCAACATCGACTGTGTTCCCTTCGGTGAAGATGTTGCGAATTAAGAATATGGCCGGATTCCCATGATGGGCTTTCCCACCAGAGCTAAGATGATCTTGTACCCCTTTCGACCGGATAGAGCACCAAAGCACCGGGACACTTGCCCATCCTTGTGCTCCCCCTCATTTGCCGCAATGGACTTTGTTGGGCGTTGAGCACCACCCACACTCTCGGCCAAGGCGGGGTCTCTCTGCCCCTCGTTTTCTGCCCATTCTGCCCCTCCAACGATGCTGTCATAGCAATTCACTATTTCTGATTAATGGTTCCAGACCCGACCACACATCACATGATCTGCCCTTCTGGGTTTGATTCTCTTACCCAATCACTCTGCCCAAGTCGAAGACAGACAGCAGGCGTTTCTGCATGTAACCCGATCGGTAGCACATCGCGCCAATCAAGCCCATACCGTTTTTCATACTGTCTTCTTTCCTCTGGGGGAAAACTCCACATTGCTTTTCCCTGTCCGGTTACTCGCAGCAGATGGTTTCGACGGGTATATGTCATGATGGAGCTGTTGGATTGTTGATCAGATAGCGATCAAGTGTCATCAGTGTCATTGACAATTACCCTGAAACCCTTCACGTAGGACCGACAAGAGCTTGTTGTGTTAATTCGGACAACAAGAAAACAACCCCGCGGCAGGCAATTGCCGGCCTGGTCTTGCCTATATGCAGTCATGGTATCCACGAGATCATCATCGCTGAGAGTTGGGGTCATGCAGCTACCCTTCGACTACACAACACAGCCAAGGCGACCAGCGCTACCTTCTTACGACAGAGCATCATGATAAGCAAGAATGGCAAGGCAAACTGAAGTTGTGGTCGCGGCTGTGATGTAGGAGTAAGCACTAGGCCAGCCATTCTTACAGCAGATAGGCTGTCGACGTTGTCTGGATGTATCATAGCTCCAGAAACGCCCATCTCGGCTGGGTAACTACATCGACCAAATATACCGAGCTACGTAACACAGGAAGCTGCTCGCGAACCTCCAAGTGGATGACTCCCAAAAAAAAAGAAGTGGGAGCTACCGGTTGTACGGACCTATTGTACCCCAGAACATTCATGATACACCAGACTACCCTCAAGTGACATAACACAAGAAGCTGTTTTTTCGAGCTTCTCCAATTCATGACTTCCCGAACGGAGCTAATCTCCTCATGTATGACGAAAAAAAAAAGTCGATATCAACACAGGAACCTGTATCTCATAGTGTGTAACAACAATGACCGAACATAGCACTCTACCTATATACGCACCACTCTAGACTGCCCTGTGAGCTCATAACATAAAACAGCCCATTCCTGTTTTTCTAAAGAACCCGCAGTTTCACAATACCTCCCAAAACGTTACTGATATCAACCTACCTACCTTGACAGCTCAAAATAAAAAGAGAGCTCAGCCCTCAACTTTTGTGTGTGTGTCTTCCAGGCGTGTAAAGTATGAAAGTCTTCAAGAAGCCGACATCACCGGGCAGACAAATGTCGGGAGGGTTATCTACTCGATACGTCCAAATTACTAATAGGTAACAAGTAGTCAACAGCCCAGGCCTCAGACTTACACCAACAAGCGGGTCAGAGAAGATAAGGTAGATGGTTTATATACATCCTCCCTCCTCTCATCATTCAGCGAGGTAACACCCCCAAAGCCAGGTGCAGAAAAGCTACCTTTCTTTCCGGATACCTTCGCCCCCTCTTCTTTATGGTTTTTTGACAGAAATGATCACTCTGGAGAATATCACCCTACCACCCAAAGGTGCAGAAGCTATGTCTCTGCAAACCAGGTTCCAGTTTAACTGAAACGCAAGTGGGTGAGGCGAGATGAGGTCTTATTGCATCAAAATACAAGCAGTTGATATTCCGAGAACTCCTTCTTCTTACCTTGGTTTTTGTCTTACATTCTGGTAGGTTGGACAGTACCTAAGAAGAGGACTTGGTCGCTACCTGCCATGACACAAACAACAAGAACAACAACAACAACAACAACAATCAGCCAGATGCAGAAAAGGCTTCCTTGGGAGAACCTTTGCTCTCTTTTTTTTGCATGAGCTCCTTTGCAGTTGCCTTTTTCTACCTTATTTTGTCTGCGTCTAAATAAAAAGCCCAATGTCACCCCGGACTATGTTGGGCTGCAGAAATGATCAGATTCTTTTTTTTTTTTTTTTTTTTTTTTTCACTGTTGCATACTCCGTAATGGCTGCAGAAAAGAATTTGTTATTTCCGGGATGCTACCCTTTTGGGATTCGGTGAAGGCATGCAATGTCGGACCTCTCCCCCCCAAGATCCCGCCTGTGGTGGTGCCTTCTTCTCATGGAACAGATGTGGATATATGGTATGGTGGATGTATTCGGCACCCTGAATGAGGTTGAGGGATGAAGAGAAAAGAACTGACTTCATTTCCGAAGAGGATTGTTAGCTGCTATGCAAAAATAATCTTGAAAGTGTGAAGTCAATTTAAATCCCTAAAACTACAAAAATAAAAAGGCAAAAAGAAAGATGGGCAACCCCGGAATCGAACCGGGGTTTCTTCGGAATCATACGTGATGCTCTTTTTACAGAGACAACCACAACGAAGCGTCCTGACCACTAGACTAGTCACCCGGTGAGGTATTTACCTGATTGTTGTGTGGTCGTGGTGGAAAGAGGGTTCAAAGTCTTTACTGCTGTGTTGTGGGGCTTCGAGTCAGAGAATGTGGAGGATGTGGCTTGGTAAAGTTGTTGAAGGGGCTTGCTTGGGTTGGGGACGGTTGCTCCAAGATAAGACTTTTGTGGGAGAACAAGAATGGGAGATGTTTTCGGTAGTCAGAATAGCGGACTGTTGCTGAGAGAAACTTGAGACTGCAAAGCTGACATGGGCCTGGAAGAAATTGGAGAACATGAAGAGAAAGGAACACAAAAGATAGGCCACAACTGAGGAGGTAGGGCGAACAGATTCTTGGTAGTTAATTGTCATTGGAATGTCTTCTGCGACGGCGATAGAAGACTGGTGTGTTTGCCAAGTAAAAAGCGTCTCCGTGACGATGCTTCGTCTTCTTTAGAATTCAAAGAGCTAGGGGGACATTTTTCTTGTCCTCCCTCAAGCGAGGGGCGGACACCCACAGCGCCCTCAAACCTCGAGTAAAACCATCGTGAAGTAAAGCAGGGAATGAGCGTGAGAAGTGAAGATTCGGCTCGTCCAGACCTCTTTCAGCTTGAACCAATCAACCTATCCCCTTTCTTTCCACTGGCACTTCCTCCGCCGGTTCCAGCAACGAAAAGCTGTTGCCACATGTAGAGATCATTAACAGCTTGATTACCGCCTGCTCTCATATTATGTAGTCCCCGGACATGCCGTCCCCTTCCACCGCGGCGCGTGTTTGCTTGTCTGCCAAACTTTCGAGTCCTGTAAACACCAGCAGAGCAATAGGACTCGGGCAAACAACCACAACACCCGCCACGGCGTGCCTAACCCATTCTGTCTAATCCAAAGCACCAATGGCAAAAATACCCCAACGCCGTCGCTAATGCAGTTTTGGTTTTCTCATTCTTGTTGTATAAACGCTGATCAATCATTGCATAAGTTCCTCGCACGTCCAGTCCTCGTAGCTGAGCTTCATGTCAGTGAAAGCTATGATGAAACGTTAGGCCATTGGAAAACTTACGTTCCATCAGGCATATACCGGCGCACGATGAGGGGGATCTTCTTCTCCCTGAGCTCCTTGATGGCAATTTGCAGGGGATCCGTCTCGCCCTCGAGGTCAACCAGCACAGGCGCATTCATACTGTTGGTTTCCTGTCAGTCGCCAGCCATCATTTCAGATGCCACAATCAACGCGACTCACCTGATCTGAAGCGCTCTCGTGCCCAGAATGCGCGCCTTCTCGTACTTGGTCATGTATGGCGTCGTCTTGCGCTGGTCATTTGGAATCTTCTTGTCCTTGTGCGACTTTTCGGCGCCCTTGCCGTGGTTGGCGGCCGCGTTAGGGTCGCCAGAGCTGACAACTTGGTTTGGGTCCTCGTCCTCGCCAATGTTGGCGCGGTTGTCTGGCTCGTCGTCGTCCACTGGCTCGTAGTACTCATCGGGATCCTCCTCAAAGGCGGGCTCATCGGCGCTGTTTCAATCAGTCAGCGATTGGCGCCTCCACGGCAGAAAGAGGCAGAAGCAAGCAAAAAAAATTGGGGAGGCGCGCACATGGGATCGCGGTCATCGTTGTCGCCGTAATCAGACATGTTGTCTTGATGGAATGAGAAGATTCCAAAGAGACTGTTGATAAGGGCGCGCAGTGGTGATAGCCAACAATGTCGGCTTTGTTGCAGCGATGAAATGGATGTTGCGTTGAACTGGGTGAGCAAGTCTGGGAGGCGGCTGAAGGCGGGATCGTAAAATTATTTAAGTGGGGCCCTCTGTGCAATGCGCAAGGCTGACCATTCAACGAGGCTGGTTGGAGACGCGGGAGGGTGTGGATCTATGAGCTTTGCCTGCCGGGAGCTCAAGTCGCACCCACAAAAAAGTTGGATATGGACTTTATCGGCAGAGCTAAAGCTTGTTCTTGCAACCCTCAACCAAAAACAACCAGAGTCACACTCTTTGCTTGCTCTGGCCAGTCATGTCTGCCAGAGCAACAAGAGCCATGAAACGCAAGGCCTCCGACGAGGACGGGTCTGCGGACTCGACCAAGCGCCAGCAACTTGACGTGGCCAGTCAAGACCTCGATACCGGCAAGGGCAGCCCAGAGCAGGAAACGGCAGAATCCACCTCCATATACGACGGCAACGATGCCGCTTCCGATGACACCTCTCGCCCAGCCGACGCCCAAACTGTAGGGGCAACGTCCATATCTACCTCCCGTCGAGGCCGCAAGTTTCCCTCCGACATGAAGACGATTAGGTGCACCTACCCTGGCTGCGACAAGACCTTTAATCGGCCCATTCGCCTGACGGCGCATCTTCGTAGCCATAACAATGACCGCATTCACCGCTGCCCTTACGAAGGGTGCGACAAGTCCTATCTCGAGGAGAAGCACCTGACGCAGCACATCAAAGGCTCCCACACCCACGAGAAGAATTACGTCTGCACAGTCGAAGGGTGCGGCAAGGCCTTTGTGACCAATACTAGACTAAAAAGGCACGCGGCCGTCCACGAAGGTGCCGAGAGATTTCGGTGCAGGGACTACGAAGGGTGTAATCTGAGCTTCCGGAAGCGTGAAACCCTTCAACGGCACATTCGGACAGAGCATCTCGGTCAGGCCGGCTTCCTGTGCCCCCAAAACGGTTGCGAAGAAGGCTTTGACAGTGCCGGTGCTCTGCGTCGGCACACGGAGAGAGAGCATGGACAACTTCGGTTCTGGTGTGATGAGTGCGCCAAGGAGACCGACGAGGATGGCGAAGAGAAGAGGGTTGGCTTCACGACATTGAACCTGCTCAAGACCCATGCTAGGACCGAACACCGGGCGTGTCCTTTCTGTGACAAGAAGATCGGGCGACAGTCCGCGCTGGAGGAGCACGTGGAGAATGTGCACTCTGGGAAGTCGGTCGAGGAGAGAAAAGATGTGCCTTGCGACTGGCCAGGTTGCGACAGCATGTTCACCCGGAAATCCAACATGAGAACTCACTACCGAAGCGCGCACGAAGGCAGAAAGTTTGTTTGCGGGGAGGTTAACACTTTCAACACGCCCGATATCGCAGACTGGAACTGGCAAGAGGAGGGTTGCAAGGCTAGCTTCGTCAGCAAGCTTAAACTCGAGGAGCATATCCGGTTTATTCACCTGGGAAGGAAGCGTCCAGAGAGGACCGTTACCTTGAATTTGGACGGACCGGACGAGGTGGATGGGATGACGGCGGCAGTTAAGAAGAAACTTGCCTGTAACGTGCTTGGGTGCGAATTGAGGTTCGTCAGATGGGCAGACCTCAACAAGCATCTACAGGCACATCAGACACAGACCCTTCGTCTCGATGCGGGGTATGGCACGCAGGAGCAGGTTGACGCTGCTGCTGAAGGAGGATATCAGCACCAGGAATACATTCTTGAGGCTCCTGGAGGAGGATATGGGGATCAGGATCATATTATTGCTGCTGCCGAGGGAGGTTACCGGAACCAAGGGCACATCCACGAGGCCAACAGCGCCTACAGCACTCCGGTCGAGGGCTACGGCGACCAGAGCCATATTCTCAACGACCTCAAAAATGAGCCGGGGATTCCAGACATGGCTGAAGATGCAACTCATGGCCTCGTCATCGATCCAGAGCTGCAAGTGTCCGCGATGGGCATGCTGCTTCAGGGGCAGGAACAGGAGCAAAACCAGCAGCATCTGGATGAGACTTTCTACCCTGCCTTGACGACTGTGCTGGGAGGTGATCATCACGCCAATACCGATTGGAACATGGTGAACGAGCTACTTAGCCAAGAGCAGTATTAGGGATACTGAACTGGCTGATCGGGGATGGAGTTGGGGGGGGGGGATAACATGGGCATGGCGTTTTGATGGGCCAAAATAAAGATACCAAGGTTTATGATATGGCATGGATTCCTTTTTTTAATTGTTTTATAGCGGTGTATATGTTAATGTCTCTGACTACGTGAGATGTTATGGATGGTACGATACCTATGGGAGCTATGATGATGGCGAAAAGTCGGGTTTCGTTTTGTTGCAAAAGTATTTGACACTTTTTAGCGGGGACGCTATGGGCGGGATGTTATCGGTAGATATATCGCATGAGTACTAAAAAGGGAGAGGTGGCAAGCAGGCAAGAGCTTGCTTGGGGTGTCGGTCGTATTTCTACTTCTACAACAAGAGGAAGATAAAAAGCAAATATTAATCAACAAATCAATTTTGATAACAAGACACTACCTAAATCTTGGCTGAATCCATTGTATTTTACTCCTGGTGATGTGCTTTCAACAGAAATACTTATTTTACCAACATGGCGTTGGGACAAGTGATACATGACCAAATCACCCATCACCTGGTCTTTTCCCAAGGCAGAAGGTAAGCCAGTCAGGGGTCAACAGTTCAATTCTAATGGCACTCAAGCCTCAAATATTCCAACAGACCAGGAGGAATACATCACGCAACCCCTTGAACCATCAACAACACCCTACCACCTAAGGTACTTTACCACCCACACCCGCTCAAAAGAAACCCAACCTCTTTTTCTTCTTCCCCTCCCCCTCCCCCTCCCCAGCACCCTCCTCCTTCTTCTGATGCGAGGAACTGGAACAAGCGCACTTCACATCCTCCACCACCCCTCCAACCGCAGCTCTAATCCTCCCCTCAATCTTCTCCCCCAGCAGCTTCTTCCCACCTTCCTCGCCTTCCAGTCCCTCTTCTTTGCCGCCGGTGGGAGTGGCGGCGTACTCATCCTCGCCACCAGTGGTGGACTTGGTAAGGGGGTCGGAAGGGTCCGGTGCTGAGGGGGAGGACGGCACAGCGGTGGTTGTTGTAGGGACGGTAGTGGTTGGATCGGTGCCTGTGGCTGTAGCTGTGGTTGTGGTGGGGGTTGTTGACGACTCGGGGTCGGTGTCGGTGTCGGTGGTGGCGGTAAGAGGTTGGGAAGTTGAGTAGGGGGTGATGGTGGTTTGGTGGGGGGAGGAGATGGGCTTTGCTTCTTGGTTAGAACTACTT